ACGAGAAGGGAAAGGTATCGGGGGTACCTTAGGTGGAGGGGGGATGTAGACTGGTTCTTTCTCCTGTTTTTGCACCTTAGGGGTGTCTTCCTCTACCGCCTTGCCCTTTTCCTCCCTCGTCAACCCCGGAGGTACTACTTTCTCAACCATCGGGGGTGTAATCTCTGGAAGTTGTTTTCCACTCCTTAGTTCGACTGCATTGATATGCTCACGAGGGTTCACTTCGTTCTTTCCGGGAAGCATTCCTGGCTGTCTTAATGAGGAGGAAGACGCAATTTGGGCCACTTGATTGTCCAAAATCTTCAAGTGGGCTTGTACTCCCTCCAATTGCTTCTTGAATGCAACTTGCTCATTTTCAATGCTCCCAATGGATACTCCTTGTGATTTTTGACCTTGGAGGATTTGAAATAGCATATCCTTGATGTTCGGGTCTTGATCCTTGGGTTGCACTTGCTGTGGTCTATAGTTGGAATTTCCTTGGTAACCTTGACTCCCTTGACCTTGTTGCTGGTACTTTGATTGAAAACCCGGAGGTCCTTGATTGCTCCGTTGAAAAGCGGGTTGAGGATTTAGCGTGTTTAACACGTTCTTGTAGGAGAAATTGGGATGATTCCTCAATCCCGGGTTGTATAGGTTGTATGGATGAGTGTATTGGTTTTGGCCGACATAGTTGGCCTCTTCCGCTTCTTGATCAATCATATACATACCCGGTTGAACTTGCGCTACATTGTGATCTTCCACAACAGCTACTTGTTTGACATTCGCGAGTTGGACCTTTATCTCCGCAAGGTCGGCTAGCACCGCCTTAAGAGCTGCGTTGTCACCCACATCTCCTTTCACTGAGCTTCTCCTACTGAACTCAATGGACGTGTGGCTACGTCCTTTGGCCAGTTTTGCTATTGTTGCTTCCAATTCTTGGAAAGGGATGTCATATATGTCACCTCTACACGCTGCATCAATCCAAGACCGAGTATCATCCTTCAACCCATGGATAAAGATGGATAGAAGGTAGTCTCTTTCCATTCCATGGTGAGGGCACATCCTTTGATATTCCTTGAAGCGTTCCCATGCATCATGGAGATTCTCCCCATCCTCTTGCACAAAAGCATCTCATCCCATGTTGAGATAGAGTTTGGCTCAATAGTGTAGAGCCAATCTCTAGCTCTCTCCGTAAGCGAGTAGGGGAAAGTTTCGAGGAATACGTCTTCAAGAGTAATCCCCGGTCCCTTCTTGATTGTCTTACAGTCCATCTTGAAGTTTGTAAGGTGAGCATTTGGATCCTCGTTTGGTCTCCCCCGAAAACTCATATTGTTGAGCATTTGAATACATTGCGGTAGGAGTTCAAAATCTTCTAGAGGTCTCCGGCTGATGCATGACAGTAACTGAGTGTGCTTCGGTTGTGTGTATGTTCGAAGCGTTCTAGGGGGTGCTTGGGCTGGACCCCTTTGGACATTGACCCCTCTCAACAACTCTTCGGCCATATCGGGTTGTTCTCTTCGTGCGTTATTCTCTCTCAGCATTTCTTCGGCCATTCCCCACTTTCTTTGCTGTCTCCGAGCGAAGCACAATGTTCTTTCTATTTCAGGGTCGAAGATGAGTTGATCTCTACCGGTGGTACTTCTTGTCATGCACCGGAAGAGCTGCACACCAAAGAGACAAAACGAACCGAGTGTGCTGTGAAACGGTAATGACTCAAATTAATCCAAGCAAAAATCCAAGCAATGTGATCTAGCAAAAATCTAGACTAACACGAAAACGCCTAGTCCCCGGCAACGGCGCCAAAATCTTGATGCGCACGCACCGAGTTATATATATTACCCGATTCGTACCACTACCCGCAAGTATACGGTAGTTGTAGTAACGGGGTCGAACACGAGGACTAGGTTGTATTAGTATATCCCTAAGCTAGATTGATGGTCAAATAAAAATGTGATTTATGATGGGTATCGGAATGAAATTTCGCAAATAAAATTAACGGGGTTGCAAACAATGATTCTAGGCGTTGTGGGTTCGGGATCCCTCAAGACTTGCATGGACGGTTGATGATACTACAATATCTACGGGTTTATCTTCCAAATGGGGGTTTCAAGCACTTCATCTAGAGTTTGTCTCTCCCGAGCTTAAACTCACTACCTAGAGAATCGATTTACCCATTTCCCAATGATCTAAATGATCTCTAGATGCATTAATGTACCCTATCATGAACCCTAAGCAAGTTAAACCATCTCCCAATGTGAATAACTCACTCATTTGATGTTTGGTTCTAAACATCATCCCCATATCCCTATGACCAATGTGTTCTAACATCACACCAACTAAGATTTCGTCAAAGTTGATAGCATTAAGCACAAAACATCAAACCCATGGAAGAAAACTCATAAACATCATAGGTTAAGCATAGGTATCCATACAAAAGTGGGGATCCCTCACCCACAAAAAAGTCACTACTCCATATCTAGGGTTTCAAAACAGAAAGCAAAATGAGAAAACATAGAAAGGGAAAAAAGAAGCTCAAGATGGTCTTCAATGGTGGTCTTCTTCTTCCCCAAGTTTCCTAGGTCTCCAAATCTCCTTTTTCACTTCTCCAAGGTGTTTTTCTTCAAGTTGGTCGAGTCCCCCTTCTCTCTCCTCAAACTCCCTCTTTTATGCAAGTGCAGCAGCTAGGTTTCTCCTCAAAAATCGGGTTTTTCCTTTTTGGGCCGGATTTAATAACGGGCGGTCGCTCACTTTTTCTTCAGGGTCGCTCGTTTTCGTCTTCAGGGTCGCCCGTTTTTCTGATTCCGGGCGATCGCTCGTTTGTTTGAGCGACCGCTCGTCCTTCACAGCGCACGGTCGACCGCCTGATTTCTTGAGCGACTGTCTGTTCCCGTAATCTCGGCGTCGAGCGACCGCTCGTTTAAATGGGCGGCCGCCCATTTTTTCTGAGCAAATTCTCGGGATGAATTCCGCCAATGGGCGACCGCTCGGCAGAATGAGCGGGCCGGCCATTTTTCCATTTTTTCTGAGCCTTCCGGGTCTTCTCGATTCTTCTCCTTTTCCGTGCCTTGTGCGTGAATGTCCTCGTTTGATCATCCTGCATGAAAAATGGAGAAAAGAATCCTACCCAAGACCATCTAACGTCCTATTATGCCTAAGGTATGTGCAAAGTGTGATGTAGGATGTTAGAAAAACCGGCGAAAATCCCGTATGATCAATACTGTGATGCAGATTGGGGAGGAAATATGGATGATCGAAAAAGCACATCAGGAGGGTGTTTCTTTTTGGGTAATGATACGTGTGTATCGAGTCTAAAATCTATAACCCGATTCACAACTCACCGCAAGGATACGGATCGTCGTAACACAGGGTCGAACATGAGGACCGGTTGCTAAATCTAAATCCTAATCGAAGCTAAATCAAAGCAAGTGAGTGGAAGTGATGGTGAAAATATGTGGAAAGAATAGAAAATAAGGAAATAAAACAATAAAAGCGAGTAAACTAGCAATCTAAGATGACCGTGGGTGTCGGGATCGTATTCGCGTGTATGGGTATATACTAAGCATGCGAGAATCACGATATTGAATCTGTATTCGGGAATCGTCTAGCAACAAAGATAGAGAAATCACCTCCCGGCATATAACTCACTATCTAAAGTTCTCTAAATCCATATCCCTATGTGATTTATAAAACTAGATGCATGAAGAACACTATCATCAACCCTAGATCGATCAAACCATATTCCTATGTGAATAATACGATCTATTCTATCGATTTCGATCCGAAACTAAACCCATATTCCTATGTAGTTCAGAATCTGAAATAATTGGCCAAGGGGTCAGCAAACACCAATCGAATAAAGCACAAATCGATAAAATCGAAACAAATCCAAATCGCAACCAAGTTAGGGTTCAAACATACCCAAAACACAAACGAATCCCTAACCCACAGCCGTGGATCTACTCACGGTTCATCGAAAAACACTGAGCAAAACCAGAAACAGAAAGAAAAGAGGGAGAAGAAAGACTCATGTCGACAGCAAGCGATCTTCACGTTCCAACTCTCCTTCTTCTTCCCCAAATCCCGTAAAACTCCTATTTCTCTCACCAAAGCTCTCCAAAATCTGTATAAAGGCTGTCTCCCTCTCTAGGACGTCTGTAGAGTCTTTTTATAAACCCTAGGCGGCACTCCCGAAGTCCTACTCCCGTTCCAACTCTGAAAATACGAATCTGGGCTTTTTCTGGGTTTTGACTCGGACCGAGTCAGTACTCTGACTCGACCGAGTCAAAACGGGACTATTAAGAATTCGGCCCAGCCCATTCTTCTGACTCGGGGTGTCTGACTCGGGCCTTCTGACTCGGGGTGTCTGACTCGGGCCGAGTCAAGACGGGAAATTCTTGACTCTTTCATCCTTTTAGCTCCAGATTGCTCCCGTCTTGCTCCAAATCACATCTGAGACCTGTAATCCTATGAAAACACAACCAAACCGAGTTTCGTGGCCTAACACGCCTATAATGCCTATAAATGAACATGATCCTCATATAAATCCTATAAAAACGTCCAGGAAATATAGAGAGAATTAGGAGTTATCAAATCCCCCCAGACTTAAACCTTTGTTCGTCCTCGAGTAAAGAACGAAGGAATAAAATCTGCAAAACAGGGATGACGAACATCAAATAGCATCCTCATGAAACTCAAAAGTGAAACATCCGTCTAATGCTAGCTTCCTGTGAATCGTACCCAAACCGGTCTACTATGATCTTTCTACCAAAGACTAATCTACCTAGTCATGGGACTTTTATTGCCACCTAGAACCCGTTAGAATCTCTACAACTCACCAAGCCTATTTCCGAACCTATTCTTATCTCAACTTAACCTTTTCGATCTAAGTTCTACATACCTGTATTTTTACCTTTTTGTAGGATTTTTCTATCAAACGCACGCATCTCGGGTTTCTAGGACGTTGAAATCGAAGGACATCGGTTTTCTTTTTTTTTCTTTTCTTTCTTTTCCTCTTTTTTTTTCTTTTTGATGCGATGTCCGACCCACAACTTAGACCCGAACCATCAATTGATGTACTCATATCCTCGAACGATTTTCGTAACGATATTTTGACAGCGGAGTGTCGAGATGCTCTATTTTTCCAAGGCATTTGTTGAACTAGATTTCATCGA